TTCTAACTAACGTACGCAAAAATTTTAGATTAGTTCATTTTTAAACAAAGCTGAGGTATGGCGAAAAAGAAACTATTTACTAAGCGTTTTTTACTAGTTATTTACTTTTTGCACGTCATATCAAACAGTAATTATTCAACATTAGATAAGTAGAATTTGTTCAGCGTACCTCGAGGTACATCGATCTGCTTAATTTCCTGCACAGTTACATTAGAAACATCAACTGCTGGATATGGGCAGACCGAATCGGGCAGTATTTGGTCATTAGGACATATAATAGAAAAATCATGTTGAATTTGAGTAAGATGATGAGGCACAGTTAGAGGAAATGATGGCGACGGAGCCCGCGTTGAATTTGACAGCAGATGCTCGTCGGTAACACGTTCTACATAATTTGACGGTACCAAACCCGTTTGACCGTCTAATGTTTCACCGTGATAAAATTGATCCTCGTCCATTTCACCGTGGACAAGTATGTAGTCCCCTTCTTGTAATGGTAGCTCCAATTGTGGATTTTCATTCGGTGAATCCCGAACTGGAATATATTGAAATAAGGCGCGAAATAAACGTGTCGATGGCCGCTGCCGCAGCGCCAATAACAGTGTATCAGACAATGACTGAGGACGATAATGCGGATGCGGAAGTGCGCTAGCGGTTGTAACCGGTAGATTTCCGGATCCGGTAGAAGTTGACGGTGAAATGCCGGATCCGGTATTACCGCTAAGGCAATACGCAATGGACATTTCGCCACCGTCGTCCTGCTTCTAAACTTGTCATGCTAAATAATCAACAACTGATTTCGTTAACGGCGTCAGTTGAATGACATCGACAGCAACAGTAACAGTAGAAGAAGCAGTAACAGAAACAGCAACAGAAACAGCAACAGCACTAGCCACAGCAGTAACAACAGCAGCAGCAACCGCCATTGCACACATTTAGTATATTCTGGCGCTTTTAGATAAGTCGCTCATCGATCTATGCTTGCATATGTGTAGTGTGAGTGTTAGTGTAGGTCTGTGTTCGAATGTGTATTCAGATGTGTGTGTGTGTCTGCGTGTGTCTGTTTGTATGCGTGTATGAGTTCGTGTGTATGTATCTGTGGGATGGAATGAAAGTGCGTTGCATGCTCTGCTCCATATGCAGCCAAAATGTTATAGCACTCACATACCGAGGGAGTCCGTATTCAAAAATTGTCGCCAACTGCTTATATATAACCCGCTTATGGTGCTGGTAGCGGTAATGAAGATGGCGATGGCGATTTTGGCGATAATAACATTGCTGGAAGGCGGTGGCTGTGCTGGTTGTGGCAGCGGTGATAGTGGTACTGCTCCATTGGTTCACTGCAGCAGCTAATCGCCTTTGGCGATCATCGCCAATACGGGATGGCGATATCTCAGTTTTTTGGAAAAGATGGCCGTTGACGTCGATAGA